GACCCTCCGACAGTGGGGCGCTCCCTCAGCACTGACCCTCCGACAGTGCCCACTCCCTCAGCACTAACTCTCCGACAGTGCCCGCTCCCTCAGCACTGACCCTCCAACAGTGCGGCCCTCTCCCCATTAATTCTGTGTAATGATGTGGAGCGCATGCTGTGTTACCTGTGATGTAGAGAGCGCTGCTCTGGTTTGAATGTACCTCCGAGATGGTGATGTGAGGGAGGCACTTGGTGATTTTTCGAGTGGACAGCTGTACAGTGTAGGACCTCGGCTGGTCCAGTTGCGTCTCATTGATGGTTAAACTGTAAATCTTCCCGTCATCTGTGAGCAAGAATCATTAAGGTTTTAAATTGGATCAGTTCCTCACCTGTAACAGTCAGAGAACTGCACACAGCTCCCCCAGCGCGGCTCAGTTGCTGGGGTTCCTTCAGGGCCTGCTTAGATAAATGTGAGATGCTGCATTTTGGAAAGGAAAATCAGGGCAGGACTTATACCCTTAATGGTAAGGTCCTGGGGAGTGTTGCCGAACAAAGGGACCTTGGGGTGCAGGGTCACAGTTCCTTGAAAGTGGAGTTGCAGGTAGACAGGACAGTGAGGAAGGTGTTTGGTACGCTTGCCTTTATTGGTCAGTGCATTTGAGCACAGGGGTTGGGAGGGTCATGTTGCGGCTGTACAGGACACTGGTTAGGGCCACTTTTGGAATACTGTGTGCAATTCTGGTCTGCCTGCTTTGGGGAGATGTTGTGTAACTTGAAAGGGTTCAGAAAAGATTTACAAGAACGTTGCCAGGGATGGAGAGTTTGAGCTACAGGGAGAGGGTGGGGCTATTTTCCCTGGAGCATCGGAGGCTGAGGGGTGACCTTATAGAGGTTTATAACATCATAAGGGGCATAGATAGGGTGAATACCAAGTCTTTTCTCCAGGGTGGGGGAGTCCAAAGATAGTGGGGAACAGGTTTGAGGTGAGAGGGAAAAGATTTAAAAGGGACCTGAGGGGTAACTTTTTCACTCAGGGTGGTGCGTGTATGGAATGAGCTGCCAGAGGAAGGGGTGGAGGCTGGTACAATTACAACATTTAAAAGGCATCTGGATGGGGACAGGGATAGGAAGGGTTTAGAGGGACAGGGGGCCAAATGCTGGTGAATGGGAGTAGATTAATGTAGGATACCTGGTCAGTATGGATGGGTAGCACCAAAGGGTGTGTTTCTGTGTTGTACAGATCTATAATGCACCTGTCAAAAGTAGCAATGATCGTTCTGTCTCTTGCCCGACCAACTTGATCTTTTTGAAACGCATCGAGGAATGAAAGGTCATCTTGAAAACTCGCTGGCCACTGGACTGTAGGTATACCTCCACACAGTCACATGTGTGGGCCGTATCACTCGGGTCTTGGGTTACCAAGGGTGGAATGTCCCGTGTACCCAGCACATACAAATACTTCCGATATATCGTGTCATTCCTTGGGTCAGTGGCAAACTAGGAGGGAAAACAATAAGGGAATGAAAATCTCCATCCTCACAGAAAAATCAGGTCACAGCACAGAAAGAGAGATTTATTTATACTGAGCCATCAGGTTATTGATAGAGGAAAGACCAGTTCACCATTATCACCATTAAGCACGGGGTTAGATACAGAGTAAAGCTCCCTCTACACTGTCCCCCATCAAACACTCCCC